ACACTAATTTGCTGAATTGGGGTTGCAGGGCTCTGTAATCCCCATTTTCTATCTAGTAATTTCGACACAAAGTCTCTTGAATCGAGCTCGGATATGGGAATCACCTGAAATCCCCAAAAGATAAGATTTTTACTGAAATTTAACAAAACCCAAGATTTTTAAGACTTGAATAAGCCAAAAAACTGTGAAATTTCTCCAGAATGCAAATGGGTAATCTCAAAAGTGAGTAAAAGAAGGAACCTGAGAAGTGTGAAAGTGATGAAGATTCGATTTCATGTTCATAGCAAAAAAGTTTGACCGTTGGACCTTCATTGTTGCTTGCTTCTCTGCAGATTTCTTCTGTTCCGCTAACGGAGGAGGCAGGGGATTCATTCACCCAAAGCGCGTCTAGTTCACAAAGTTTTGGTACGTGAAGGACACGCGCTTTGGTATCTGAATCAGGCCTGATACGGCCTATCTCTTTGTAGCCCATTTAACGAACAATTCGGAATGCAAAATCGGGTGCAAGTGGTTTGACAAGAACAAAATTGATTTTTTTAACTCTAAAAATTTACCATTTAGAATTATTGTTCTTCAAAAGATGAGAGGAATGAAAAAGGTTAGTAAAAAAAAATATAATGCAATGATCTGAGTCAAAGCTAAAAACAAATACTTTTGATCAATATTTTATATTTATACTTAATCGTCCCAATTTTATCAATGAAGGGACAAGCAAAATACATTTACACGATATACATCTACAAGAAAATAATACAAATATATTCATTACAAAATATTAGTATAAATTTCACGTACCGATCACAGCTCAGAAAAAGAAGAGCGATCCAACCATTGCAACAACGACGGAAGCGAAGCCAATCGCCACCGTTGAGCCGCCGCTTTCGGAAGTTTGCTGAGGCGGCGGATAATTCGCGTACGATGTATCGCTTCCGATAGGTCCGGCAACTGCCACGTCATCATCTCCGGGAGTAGCAGGTGCATCATCGTCGGTTGTTCCAATGGCATTGTCATCTGCCGGACCCTCGGCTACTTCTCCGTCGGTCGGAGCTGTGGCGGTGGTCGTAGACGGTTTATCAACAGCTGATACGATCACGGCGGAGACGGCGACGAAGAGGATGAGGAGAGCTAGGTGAAGGCGTGCCATTATGTTGAAGTTAAATTAGTAATCCCCAAAAAACGTTTTAAAATGTTTTATGGGTAT